GGGAGTTTGCTTATCAGGTTCTCTTCAAGAGTTTAATGCTTCGTTATGACTCGTCAAAAGGCTTGCAAGTTTTACAAAACTAACATCAAATTAGCAACAAACTCCAGCAACCGTTTAAGCATTCCTAGCAGTAAGGTGACTTTTCCTTTGAGAGTACAAAAACCATAACAAAAAGCATTTTTATTCCATTTCTAAAACAAAGATCAACACTGTATATGTAAAATGCTTGTTCATTTACTCTGACACTGTTTTCCTCTTGAGAAAGTGTTGGTCAAGAGTAGAGTTATCACAAAAGGCAATTATATAGTCTTCATAAAGTATTTCCAAGAGATCAGTCAATCCTGACTTGTCACAGTCCTGAGACTGCCTCCAAAAAAGGCCTGTCACTGGCAGGCCTCCAGTACCCTGTGAGAAGATACTCATCACCACCCAAACTGAAGACCTGAAATGTATTTCATAGCACCATCTAGATGGGAAAATAGTGTTAAGATGATCAAGTCCAACCATAAAAGCATGCTGATCTTATTGCAAACAACTAATTTCATGACATTTGCAGCCTTCTTATGTCTGAAGATTTACAAACCAGTATTTCAAAAACCCACTCCTTCTACCTCTAAACACCAAGAATCAAAAAAAAAAAGTTGTTTTTTTTTCATTCCATAATATACCTAAATAGACGATACAGGAACTATTTGACGTGAGCTGACCAATGATTGCATTTTATGTTTCCAAATCTCCAATTCATATTAGAAAGAGGAAAAATTTGGAACTACTGGCAAATAAGGTATGTTAAAGATACCACTTACCACAGAAAGTTGCAGGTTGGAGTGTGGGAACACTGGCAGCTCCTATCTAGTCTTTGCTTATCACTAACCTACCCATTCTAAATACAACTTCAGAAAGAAAAAGAACTAAGGAACAATTTGAAGGGGATTTCTAGAAACAGAGGAAACATTTCACTCATCTAAGAAGAGCCTTCTAACCCTTTCCTCCAGGCCTTGAAAGTTTCTTGATAACCCATTTACTTTTCTGACATCTGAACCAAGTCCCCCAGGCCACTCTTACCACGGGAAGGGGCTTCATTGCTGCGAGTTCAGATCACGGAGGTTTCTCTGTTTTGCTTTGTTCATGTGATGAAATGTAGAGAGTTTAACAGAGGGAACTGTCAGCAGGGGAATGTGCTTCATCCTCCAGTCACCTCATTTCATGAAGTTTAGTCAGCAGCTGTATCAGAGCCATTTTAATTAAATAGGTCACTAAAGGATCTTCTTTTTACCTTGAAAAAGATGTGGTCAGGACTTTACCTGAGCTGAAAGGTTTGAATTTCATTAGGACTTTAAAGTGGGTTGGGTTTTTTTTCACCACCCAAATACAATGAGCACCAATTTTTCAACACATCAATACAGCTATTTGCATAAAGTATTGATCAGAAGTCATTATAATCACAAAATGTTAATTACACCAATTAATTCCCAATCTGTTTATACCTTAAGCTTGTTTGTGTTCAGCACAGAAGGTTAAAGCAACAGTGAATCAGTCTTGACTTTCTCTCTGGAAACAATTTTTATACGTTGAGGACTCCTGTCCTGTAAATTCTAAATTTTCTATATGAGTAGGCTTTTCCCCCAGTGTTGCTTTATAATTTTCCATGCTATTTCAAACCCTTGGTCTACTCACCACCAAACAGGTTCCCTTAGAGTCATAATTAATCTGTGGATTTGTCAAAAATAGTGAACAGGAAAGCATTCTAATGTGCCCCAACTACCAGATGGAGGACATGATTTCTGTGGGACTGATGCAAACTCAGGGTGCTGAGCAGCTCTGAAAAGTCAGATCCTGCAGTGTTACTAATCCAGCTCCATTCTCCACTTTACATTCTACAGAACATTTTATGTAATCAATTTGTGGAGACACCTTGATTCCTGCATCCTAGCTTCTGCTTCCAAGGATGGCTGTATCACGTTCACTCTAAATACTCAAACCAAATCCCATCATGTCATTTTTTGAGGGTTTTAGCAGCCCTCTTCCTCCTGTTTTACAAGAGAAACAAAATTACTATCATGCCCATATTTTCACCTGTGCCTTCTCATCTTCTTCTGACTGTCTAAGCAATTTGGTTTCTCTCTTAAGCATTTAAAAACCTCTAGAAACAAACAAAACAAAAAGAAAAAAACATTTTTCTCTACTCACTGGTATAAATGCTTCATTAAAACTGCCTTTGGCTCGAGAACTCCTAAGGGAAAGACAGTCTGGGTTGTCTGTATACAACCTAGCCATGGCTTGCAGTTGACTATAGTGACAAGGATAAGTGGGAAGAAGGAATTTTGCATTTTCTTTGCACTGTTAGGTACAAAAAATTTAGCATTAATTTCATAATATCATATCCACAAAGTACATGCAATGAAGGAAATTATATATAAAAACCTATTCAACCCCTAGAAAATAAAAATTACTCTGCACTATACAGACACATCCAGCAGCAGCATGCAAAGAATGTGCATTCACTGAAGGCAGATATTAAGTTACAACAGCACTTCTTATGACATGAAAGTTGGTGCCACATAGGCACAGTGAGTCCACTTTCCCATCCCTTTTCTTAAACCACCAGTAAAGAATCATAATATTTTTAAAAAATATTTCTTGGATTGAAATACTTGGTGTGCAGTATTGAAAGAAGTATGATGAAGCTCTGTTATTGCCTCAGATTAAAACAATAGACTGACTGTTGAATCATTCAGTCCTGATTGCTGCAGTGCATGCTTTGAAAGAGCCATCCAGGTGTTTAAAGACTTTTCCACTATTGAATTATCACTTCAACATAACATGACAGCCACTGGAAGTCCTGTTATGAAATGCACCCAGAGATCAGCTTAGGCAACGTAGCTTTCCTTTATCAAGATTGCAGAATTCAGAATACAAAACTTTATATTTTCACTGAACACACTATTTCTCCACCAAAAACTAAGATACTGTTTGTCAGTTCCATGCAGCATATCCACCATTTTAGCAAAACTCAGTTACTGACCCTCAAGCCTTTTTTCACATTTAGCACAGACATTCGATGTCTCTACAGATAAGTCTCCTCTTTTGGCCAGCATAAGAAACTGCAAAGTTCAGAGAAAATCACTGGAATGAAAGGCAGCTACTGAAAATTTCCAAGCTACACAGAGACCTTACCTAAACTCAGACTGAGTACCTTTGATTTCCCACTTATTGGTCAAATCAAGAAAATGTCAATGTGGGAAACAGTTCTGGAGCTTAATATACCCTTCTGAGATAATCAGAGCACTGTAATATTAACTCTTCTGAGGAACAGTTTGGACACTGTGCTTGCATGACCCAAAGAAGTCATAGATAAAATATCTGACAAAGTTGTGTAATAATAGAACACATGTGAAAGTTCATGCAGCTAAGATTTAGAATGAAACAGCTAAGACATCAGCAGAACATCCTCCTGTCAATACAGCTGAAACTAAAGGAAAAATCACTTTCTATGGGTTTCAAGTTCAAAGAGCCTTTGGGGCTTGTTTTTAAAGCCAGAAACAGATTAGCAATGTCTTTTGTTTGAAGTCATGGGGTCCTGTCCTAAATTTTGGAAAGCTGGCTCCACTAAGCTAACCAGCATTTCCAAGTAAAATTATCTACTGTAAGCTTTGCATGGTAAAGGCCAGTAAAAAACAGGGCATGGAAACTGCATAATACTGAACTCAGAACTTCCTGACAGTTTTAGCTTTTGTAGAACTCTATTGAATTTTAACAGCGAGAAAGGTAGAGATATAATTTTAGGGGTTTGCCTTTTTAATTTGAAAGGTAAAAGTAAATTCCTTTGGAGATAATTGTATTTTAATAGATATAAAACAAATACAAAACAATAATCTTTTATATTAAAAGACATTTTAAAAACCCACCACACCCATCTTTCCCTCCCTCCCTCCGAAAAGAATTTTGTGGCTCACAGAAACCATCTGGCTAAAAGTAATTAAGTGCATAATCCTTTACACTTGCATCCATGCCCTTCCAGCACCATTTCTTCAAAGATGAAAGTCTGGGGATCTGGCTCTAGGCCCAGTCAAAAGGGAAAAGCAAATGAATAGAGCTGACAACCACACAGCCTAAGCCCAAGGCTGCATTAACTACTCTGTATCTTCTTTTATATGGTCTTGAAGGCCAATGGCAACAGCTGATGAGAACCTCAGAGCCACAACTCCGATGGCATGGAGAAGAACAGAAAGAGCTCAGGCTTGAAAGACACGTCTCCGGCCTCCCACGCACCCCCAGAGGCTGAAAGATTTGGGCAGGAATCAAACCAATTCACTGAAAAGTTTTGTCTTATTGCACTCCCTTGTTTCTGTGGGAAGAGATTATCTGCATGAGAAGTACCCAAAACACCAGAGTATAAATATCTTCCCATCACTGGAAATCATGACCATCCATCAGAGGATTATCAAAGACTGGTTTATGAATGAGTCAGACTACAGACTTAATATCATTTTTGAGTTACGGTAGACATGGATATTTCATGCAGGTCAGACAAAAAGAGCATACGATTTTCTGTCATGATCATTTATGAGGTCTTGACCTAAATGTAACCTCTCTTCACAGTGCCTAAGACTTGTTTTCTTTCTTAATTCCTGTGAATTAGCTTTTTTGCTTAGCTGTCTAAACTAATTTTTATCAGATGTAAAAGCCTTTTCATGAAGCAACGGAACAGCTTTGCTTCTTACCTTTAAAAAGCTCTCCTTTTTTTCCTGTATATTGATACAATTTCATAGTGAGGACAATTTTACATAAACTATTTTCCACTCCACTGAATGTTATGTCGCTCTACATGAATATATTTCTTGGTTGATGCCAAGGCAAAATATTGCTATAAATGCTGTATTTTCATAAATGCTATTCTTTGACTTTTTAATAGGTTCATTCCATGCATACTATCAATACCAAGTCTTCCTGATGGATCTGTATTAAGCTGCCAGCATAATTTCCTCTGTTGTCCCCAGAGCCTTCACCTATGAATCAAAGGGAAAAAAGATCACTGGCTCTTCTGTATTTCAAGGCAACGAAGTGATCAAGATGGAGGAGAAGCTCTAGTGATTTAAAAAACTCCAGTCAGTAACACAGAAACAGAGAAAGGGAATTTAAGACTTACAAGTGGTAAGTGGAAAACAGGATTTTTTTTTTTCTTTTCCTTCATTTTCAATAAAAACAGCCATTGAAATACTAACAAGACAGAATGGCCAAATTCAGAGCCAGCTGTTGACATGGGTAAGTTAAATAGCAATAAGTTAATGCCAGGTCCAGCTATAAGTTTCCAAATAGCATATGAGAAAGCCCTATAATAGTAATGCTAATAATGCAGGAGATGAAAGACAGCATGACTTTACCAAATGTGACTACTTTTAAGTATCATTTGGCTCAAGTTGGACACAAATTTTGTTCTCTTCTACATTAAATTTAGTTTAAATTTAAATTTTGAATAATTGAGTCCAGGGTTACATTCCTCTAAAGGAGACTAAAGATCAGTGCTGCCTAGACTTGTTTCTGGAAAAGGCCCAAGAGTACTAGCAATAGCTACATATTTTATTCTAGCTTTCCAATATGTTAGGAGCAATTAAACATAGTGCATTAAATCCAAATGCAGTGACTTTGATTCTACATTAACATATATCTAAACCAAATTTTTCCTTGGCTTTTTAGAATATGTGACCATCAATATGATCTCATTTGACTTTGTCCATTTTGTAACTGCCTCGTTATATTCATTTTGAATGTACCCCTCATGTCTTATCAGTCTGCCTGGCCTTTTCAGGTTTTCTGAAACATCATAAAAACTTCTCCCTATTTTTAAAAGGTATCCATTATTACAGAGATTGAACTTCTGAGATGCAACTTTTGTCACCTTCTGGAAATAACAAACCCATAAAACTGTATTTTCAAGCTATACTGTGTTTGTTCTGAGTCACTGCCAAATATGAAACAGCAAATAACACATGCTGCCTTTGACCATCTACCTTGTGTGATGATTACGCAACAGCACAAATTGAGGGTAGGTTCAGAGACAGTTCTGTCCAACTTTCTACTTACTCATGAAAATTGTCACATTTTTAAAAGCGGTACCAAAATGGTTCTGCTAATACAGCCTCATATCAGGAACAAAGACCTTGGAAAAAGATTTTGGCCAATTCCTGTTCTATCTTATACCTCCTAACATAATTCAGGACAAGAAGGGTGTAAGATCTCCCCGCTTGCAAGAGAGTTCTGCAACAAGACTTCATATTCAGAGACTACTACGAAGGCAATAAATTTGCGTTTTTCTTTGAGTTTACACTTTGTAAAGTCAAATCTCACAAAAGGCACAAGCTAAATATCAGGAGTGCAGATCTCCAGCTGCTTTTAGTCCATGTTGCTCAATGGTTACATAGACCAGTGAACACACAGCCCTTCGTGGGACTGTAAGCCTATCCTGGACAGACAGGGAGGACACGAGATGAAGTTGCCACAAAGCAGTCCAAATACATTTGATCACACCTATTCCCTAATCTGCAGTCTTCTGTAGTTTATTTGTGCAGTTCATCACTGCAGAAAACACATGACTTTTCGAGGAAGTCTTTAGCCTCCATCTTTAAAGACTTCTAAGGCCTGGGATACAGGAGACAAGTTACAGTAACAACAGCAGTAAGAATGGGAGACACATCCTAAGAACCAATAAGTATCTTATTGAAGCCTGTCATGCACATGAAGTTAGGAATACAGTTATTTATCACCCTGACTTTGTTTTTCAAGCTGAGGCCCTGCCTCACAAAAAAAAAAAAACAAGGAAGGGAAATGCACTCACAAGAAGCAACTGCTTCAGCCTTTGGAAGATCAACCAGAAAATTATTAGGAGTGCATGCAGCTTATGTCAATTGGCATAACATTACCTACAATATTGTGTTATTTTATTTCTTAAGCAGCCTTTGATTTCTTCATTTGTGAAAGAAATGCCAGCTCAGAGGTGTTTGCTGATGGGATGTTTGAAAGTCCTCTCACGGTGTTGTGAGGTGCCAGCTGAAATGGAGAAGGGTAGTCATTAGCAGTAGCTGCACGTGCTAATTAGGTAGTCACTGGCACGGAGGCAATGTATCATCACTTTGACTTGGTGCACAGGAAATTTCAGCTTTTACAGTTTAAGGTCTCCGTCATCTCACTTCATATTATCCGGTGATGAGAATCTTTATCCCTAATTAATACTGGAGCTGCAGGGAAATCTGAACAACCCGCTGTCCAGTGAGCGTATTTTTATGTCCCTATTAAAGCTATCAATCTGGGAACAATGTGCACATGTGTGGGCTGTGGGGCACAGGTTGTGACTAGAGCTTTAGAGTCATCGTCATATTCAGCCAGTATGGATCCTAAACAATTCTGCAGCCAAAGGGCTAATCTAGATCTGAAATGCTTGAAAAGCGCAAACAACAAGATGGAATCAAGAAGTTTTATTTCCCTTAGTTTGGCATTGAGGTAATTACTATTGAAATATACAGACTTTAGTCTTAATATCCACAGTCCAGAAATGCTATTAATAAATTAGAGATTAATCTTATTTGAGAACTAATTTTCATGGTAATAATATTGCTAATAACCAGATACTGGACCTGGCAGGCGTCTTTGTGGGTTTCTTTTTCATTAGTCATTTTTAAACATATCTCCTAATAGTTTTCCAGTGCAGTAGGATTCTAGATTAGTTCCAAACTGCACCTTACATACAAACCTATTTGTATCTTTCTCTTGTCCTATTCATGTAATGCCTGCTGGGATCCATTTGCCTTAGTTTTACTGCAGCCATATAGCAGTCTGATGTTTTCAAGGCTTTTTTTTTTTTTCCTAAATGTGATCTTACATCCTTCTCTAGACAGGACTGCTGAAAAACTGCTCTACCACATGTTCTCAGCTTTTGGATTATCGCTCATTAACATTTTGCTCTGGGTTGTTTTTAACACATTTAACATGTCTACACAGGTAAACATGTTTACTTTGAATTCTATTTTGCATTGAGTAGTCCCTTACTGAGAGGTAACCAAGCCCAACATTTTCCTCTTTCTCCCTCACATCATTATTTTATAGTTTTTCAACACTGGTACTTTCAGCAAAACTGAGATGCTTTGCCAAAATAATTGTCCATGCACTTTAACTGGTTACTATACTATTATATATCACAAATAGAAAATTACTTCAGAATAAGATGGAGGTGGTTTTCAAATATTGGTTTTCATTTTTTTTCATACACAATTATTTTCTGGCACAGACTATCTAAATAGCTGACTGCACCTCACTATAATTTACAGTGGCCCTTTAGAGGCTAGGCTGAAATTGTAGTCCTAAAGGTCTAACCTCAAAAAACCCAGGATATTTAGAATTAGTACACTTATTTTGGCATATTAAATCTAAGGAGTATGACAAACAATATGCAATATTATCGGAATTCATCATTCTCAAGCTCACAAAAGGATGAATTACAGATACATCAGTCTCTACTGTAGAGCCTTCTTTGTCAAGATTTCCTCATTTTCCCTATTTGATGCTTTTGACAATTAAAAAGCCTTATAAACTAATAGTATTCAGTTAATCAGAGAAGATCATGATATATATGTTCACAAGTTTGCTCCTTCAAACACCCCCTACCCCCAACTTCAGTAATGCAGAGAATCATTTTTTGTTGTCTTTTCCTCCAGTTTGCTTCCTGGTAATTTTATTTGATTCCTCTTAATTTTTGCACTGGGAGAGACAGATGGGGAAGACTGATAAAGAAGGTCTTTAGAATCCAGTCATGGTTATTAGCTTCTCTCACCTTCTCCCCCTTTAATTATTATAAAAAATCAGGGTCAAACCATAACATCTTGTAATTAAGTAAGCACAATACACCTCCAACATTCCCTAGGTACAAGAAGGACTATCTTTAGGAGCAAAAGGTTGCTCCTATGGCCCAGATTTGTTTCTTGGCATTTCTACTCTCAAAAAATACAACTTAAATATTATGGACACATGTAAATAACTATCCTTGTCACATCTGCCCTAAGCAGTATTATCTACAGTATTTATCTGTTTTATGAAGATGTCTGCAATGTAAGTAATCATAAAGCAAGTTGGAAACATGACCTCCATCAATCTACAGTACATGCAAATGCTTAATTTAATTTTTCCATCAATTTCCAAATGAATGAGGCTCATTGTACTGAAAAATAAAAACAGCTTGGCCTCTGACTTCATTTGAGATTACTTTTCCACAATAATGTCCTCAACGGTAGAGTTGTAGGCTTTGGAAGAATTAGATGAAAAATGTTCAGACGATCCTTGTTTCATCTACACTTTTCCACCCACACTTAAGGTCAACAATGCAGAGATGCATTTAGAGTAAGTACATATTCAAACATCAGCACAGTGTGCCTCAAGGAGAGCTGAAGGCATCGGTGGTAAAAACTTACTGACGTATTGTCAAACAAAAAGAAGAATACATACAAAGATCAGAACCTCACTTCCAGTGTGCACAGCCTACGTAACACATTGGTGGCCTCATCTCTTCTGCTAACAAGTTTTTCATATTTAGTGTTCCCGAAGAGAACCATTTAATTAGGCACAGAGATTGAGAGAGGCTGTTCGCTGTGATTTGAATTTCATTTTGTTTTGCATCCATTGTCAATGAACATAAATTGTAGAGCTATTAAAGATAGAACTCAGTCAAAGTTTCACACTGCTTAAGTAAAGCAAAAGGGAATGTAACTACACACATATTGACATTGCAATCAGCCAGGATATATGACTGCAGTATACAGTCATATGTGCTAGGCTTAATCAAGCTAATTTAATCAACAGAATGGAAGACACAGTAGAACAGGCTTAATGCAAGCTTAGGGTAAGCAGCAAGCCTACAAAGTCTATGCTGCTCTCATCCACGCCTCCCGTGTGTACTGGTTGTCAGAGAGATGGTTGAGACTCCTCAGTCCTTAGGGAGGTTCTGTGTCCTACATAGACAGTGGGAGGGGGCAGGCAGGCAGGAAGGGGGTTAATTGATATCAGCTGGCAAGATGCACTTGCTGGTCAGGTTGGGAAGACCATGTTCCTTGCTCACCTGCCAACATACGCCTTCCATCAGAGCAAATAAGAGGTGATGCAAGAGTCAA